TTCCCTGTTTTGGGTGTTCATTTTCTGCTCTCAAGCTCTGGACATGACATTTGTCTATACAAGTTCATTCTTTTAGATGCGCCTGTAGCTTTATCTGGCCCCATTCCTTTGCATCTAGACTCCATTGACCAAGTTATCTTTCTTTCTTTCCTTCACAGTTGTAGATACTTATTTAGGTCCGTAATGTAAAAGTACAGCAAGGTCAAGGCTGTGAATAGATTTGTGAATGAACAATCAGTATCTGGGTTGCTGGTGAATAAACTTGGGTTCTGTCCTCACGGTAAGCTTGCTGGGGGCAGGGGAGGGATGCATTGAGTTGAGGCTAGGTTGAGAAGCCTGGACTATTCTGAGTTATGGGCAAGACTCAGGACTCCATGAGTTCAGGGGAACAAAGAGAAGCCAGAGAAATATCTTCTCCACCCAACCAGTGTATGCTTTATATGCCATCATTTGAAATTTCTTCCTCTGACTCAGGTTTTTGCTCCTTAAAAGGAGAAGCACTACATAAATGATGAAAGTGCTCACCCAGGAACCCAGAGATCCAGGCTTTATGTGCAGCCTTCAGCTTCCCTGCTTCCATAAAATGATGGGAATGTATGATCAGCAGTTCTTAATACTTTGGGAGTTAGAGACCCCACTGAACCTCAGATGGAAGCTACAGATGCTCTATATGTACACAGAAATCTTCAGTCCCTTCACTAAGGTTAAAAGACTTTGAAGCCTTCCTGCCCCCAAGAGTCTGTGAAGTCTGCATTGTGGAGGAGCTTAGAATGGCTGCATGCATTTGCTCAGCACTGTACAAGGTGCGGTCACATCCTCTCTTCAGTCGTTCTTCACAGTGGCCTCAAGAGGGGACAGAGGTTGCCACCCCACTCAGTAGATGAGGGAGCTGATCTTGGAAGCCTCAAGCTTCATTGAGGGTCAAACATCTAGTTAGTGGTCATGTAGGGCCCATATTCATGTAGGGCCCAGGCCCCATGTCTCATGTCTCCACTTTCTATACATTATATATATATAAATGATCATTCCTGACTTAAAACACTGCACCTTACATGAATTTGGCTCCATTCCCAGATCAGTACCAAGCCTGTGGGAGCTTCTGGACCTACCACCTTCTAGCTCAAAGTGCATCCTAAGTTTTCTGGGACTTACTTAGGTCCACTTAATGTTTCTTTGTTGAAACTGGGACTAGCACTCAGAAGGCAGACCTCAGGCATCGGTTTAGCCACAGCAGCCCCTTCCAGCAAGACAGGAAGCAGTACAAATACTTTCTTTTATTGGGAAGGCGGTTTGAACTACATTTGGGTGAAGCATGTGTGAAGGAGTTAACCAAGGGGCAGGCTGTTGGTAGCAGTGGTGGGGCAGGGCCCAGGGAGAGGAAAAGCTGAGCTTACCCTTAGTCTTTTCACCTGATCAGCAGTGTGGTCCCACCTCTGCAGGCTGCTGCAGCTCCTCCCAACAAGACACCATGCTTGTGGCCTTGGCATCTTCCCCTAGATTCAGGCCCTATTTATTTGATCTCCTTTGCTCTCATTTCCTTTCTGTTCCTCCTGAGGAGCCCATGTTCAACCAGCAAGTTCGGGTGCTATGAGGGATACAGAGATGATAAGATACTGTTCCTGCCTTAAGGAAGCTATAGGGATGAAGGTTAATTTCTCTGCTCTTGAAAACTAGAGTAGAGAAGGAGACAGTTGGGAAAACAAGGAATGCCATATGGGGCCAGCTGTGGCATGGGTCATAATGGAGTTTGGGAAGGCCACCTGTATAGGAGGGTAATTAATGCTGACTCCTGGGATCTGGGAAAGCTTCCTAGAGATGACTGCATTTGAGCTGGACGAGGAAGGATAGGAAAGATTTGGATGATGACAGTGAGCAGTCCCAGTGGGGAGGACAGCTTGGGCACAGGCATGGAAGAAGGAAGGCATGGGGGGAGGTGAAGAGGTTTGCTGACCAGACTGTAGGTTGGGTATGTGGTGACGGGGTTCAAGGGCAAGTCAGCATTTGGCACCAAAGGTTGATGTTGCCTTAAAAACAGCTGCAGTGTTCTTGAGATGACTCCAACTCATGTGTGCTCTCTCCCCTTGCAGAGGCCATGCTGCTGAAACATTATCTTTTTTTGCTGCTGGGATGCCAAGCCTGGGGTGCAGGGTTGGCCTACTATGGCTGCCCTAGTGAGTGTACCTGCTCGAGGGCCTCCCAGGTGGAGTGCACTGGGGCACGCATTGTGGCTGTGCCCACCCCCCTGCCTTGGAATGCCATGAGCCTGCAGATCCTCAATACACACATTACTGAACTCAATGAGTCCCCATTCCTCAACATCTCGGCCCTCATTGCTCTGAGAATTGAGAAGAATGAGCTGTCTCACATCATGCCTGGTGCCTTCCGCAATCTAGGCTCACTGCGTTACCTCAGCCTTGCCAACAACAAGCTTCAGGTTCTGCCTATTGGCCTTTTCCAGGGCCTAGACAACCTGGAGTCACTCCTTCTGTCCAGCAACCAGTTGGCGCAGATCCAGCCGGCACACTTCTCCCAGTTCAGCAACCTCAAGGAACTGCAGTTGCATGGCAACCACCTAGAATATATCCCTGATGGTGCCTTTGACCACCTGGTGGGCCTCACCAAGCTCAATCTGGGCAAGAACAGCCTTACCCGCCTCTCCCCTAGGGTCTTCCAGCACCTGGTCAACCTCGAGGTTCTCCGGCTATATGAGAACAGGCTCACGGACATCCCCATGGGCACTTTTGATGGATGTGGGAACCTCCAGGAGCTGGCCCTGCAGCAGAATCAGATTGGCGTGCTCTCCCCTGGCCTCTTCCACAACAACCGTAACCTCCAGAAGCTCTATTTGTCCAACAACCACATCTCCCAGCTGCCCCCTGGCATTTTCATGCAGCTGCCCCACCTCAACCGTCTCACGCTCTTTGGGAATTCTCTGAGGGAGCTCTCTCCTGGGATCTTTGGGCCCATGCACAACTTGCGAGAGCTTTGGATTTATGACAACCACATCACTTCTATACCTGACAATGTTTTCAGCAGCCTCCACCAATTGCAGGTCCTGATCCTCAGCCGCAACCAGATCAGCTACATCTCTCCGAACGCCTTCAATGGGCTTATGGGGCTGCGGGAGCTGTCCCTCCACACCAATGCACTGCAGGAGCTCGATGGCAATGTCTTCCGTATGTTGGCCAACCTGCAGAGCATCTCCCTGCAGAACAACCGCCTCAGACAGCTGCCTGGGAATATCTTTGTCAATGTCAACAACCTCATGACCATTCAGCTGCAGAACAACCAACTGGAGAACCTTCCCGTGGGGATCTTTGATCACCTGGGGAACCTGCGTGAGCTGGGGCTCTATGACAATCCCTGGAGGTGTGACACAGGCATCCTTCCACTCCGCAACTGGCTGCTGCTCAACAAGGCCAGGCTGGGGACAGATGCCCTTCCCGTGTGTTCCAGCCCAGCCAGTGTCCGAGGTCAGTCCCTCATCATCATCAACATCGACACTGTTGTCCCTGCTGTTCCGGTCCCAGCAATCCCTGTGGTGCCCAGCTACCCGGAGACGACCAGCTACCCTGCCTCCATCTCCATCTCCTCCACCACTGGGTTCATCAGCCCTACAGTTGGCTACACCGAGCTGAGCACCATTGAGACCATTGAGCGTGACACGTGGGCCTTGACGCGGGTGCCGAGCGGGCTGGCCATCGCTGCCTTCGTCATCAGCATCGTGGCCCTGGCCTCCTCCCTGGCCACCATTCTGTGCTGCTGCTGCTGTCAGAAGAGGAGCCAGGCAGTCGCGATGCAGATGAAGGCGCCCAACGAGTGTTAGAGGCTGGCTGGGGCCAGGCTGGGGCGTCAGGGCCCGACCATCCAGGGATTTCACTGTCCACCCCAGGCCCACAGGGCCGTCCGCTCCTCCCTCGCTCTGGCTCTCGCAGGCCCCTCTCTCCACCAGGGACAACCAACTGGCCATGGCAAAAACCCTGTGGGTTTCTAGTTCACATCCCCGTCTTCCTTCAGGAAAGGTCCTCCTCCAAAGCCTCACCAGCTCTCCTCCAAGAACAAGCCTCTCTGTGCCCGCGCCCGGCCTCAGGCCCAGTCACTGTGTGCCTACTCGCTTTGTGGGATAGTCCTCTCCTGGACAGCCCCTCTCCCACATAGTATGTAGGTTGACTTCCCTTCTTCTGCCGTCCTGTTTGTGGAATGGCTCTACCCTGTCCCCTCAAGGGAAAGGGCCCCCTTGATTTTCTGCTTCTGAAGGGGGGTGAGTTCTCTCCTCAGAGAAGGCTTCAGATCATGCAGCTGCTTTCTGAGGAACTGCCAGGCATCCTGGCTGTCTGGGTGCTGTGAAAGAGAGATGGTGGAATGCTGCTGCTCAGCTCCCGGAGATGGAGTCATCCTCAGTGTCTCTCTCATGATTTTTATCTAGAAAAGGAAAAAGGAACCAATGCAACAAGCTCAGCCTTTCAGATTCTGTTATTAATGAACTGCAAATTTGCTTTGAAAATTTTAGTCCTTTAAGGAATAAACTCATGTGGTGTTTTTGACCCCTTAAAGCATTAAAATCAGCTTACTGGTACTGGAGGGTGAAAGCAACCTGCTACCTGGGGGTCCTCGTGTTCACATCTAGGGCTTTTCTCTTTTAACTTTTTATTGAAGTGTAGCATACATACCAAAAAGTGGGAGCATGATAGTGTACAGTTTGGTGGACTTTCACAAATGGTACATGCCCTTGTAATCAGCATCCAGACCAAGAAATAGGACAACCTCAGGATCCTCTGGCCTGGGCTTTTACTGAAAGGCAGGACGAGGGCCTTGACTTCGTTGCTCCTCCTTTTTTTGCTTCTTTGACCTGGGAACTGACTCCCTATGAGCCAGATGGACCCTCACTACCCCTCCAGCAGTCCTTGCAAAGGCCCAGCTGCCAGGGCTGGAGGAGAAGATGTGGATATGCTGTGCCCCGGGTGGGAGATTTTATTCGATCCCCAGGCCTGAGGCACCCAGACAGGCCAGGTCAGAGGCAGCTCAACTACAGAGACCCGCACAACCACACACCCTTCCCTGTCAGCAAAGCAGTGCTGCTCATGGGAGGCCCCTCGGCGTGGGCCTTTCATGGGCATGATATGCCTTGATCTGTTTTTAATTTTCACTCTCCATTTGGAGGAAGTGAAAAAGCTGAGAGATGAGATCCTTTAACTGAACATCCACATGTCATGGAACTCAGCGATCCCTCTAATGTCATGGTGAAATTCTCCATCAACATTACAGTAAGCTAGACACTCAACTTCAAAAATCTCACCCATGGCAGGCAACAGCAGGGTACGCAGATAGGTCACACCAGGTTAGGGGCTCTGGTTCTAAGAGCTGAGTTGCTTGGACCAGGGTTATTCTCTTCCCTGAGTTACAGTCCCATGAATACCTGCCCTTGCTACTCTTGTTGCTACATACATACATACTGACACTGATAAAGACAGTATGCTCAGGGCAACACCTGTCTTCTCTGGACCACTGGTCTACCAGTTTAGAAGTAAACACAGTGAAATGGAGAATGTCCATTTCTGGAGGTGTCCAAGTCTGCCCAGAAAAGTGCTGCAGCCAACTCTATAAGGATTTGGAAATCTGCCATTCATTCTGATTAGCTCTTACCAGTTCCCTCCGCCCCACAAGGCAAATATGAAATCCACTGGGGCCTCAGCAGCATGATGCTAACTGGCCTCCGAAAAAAGGGTCCTGAAAGGGATATGCTTAAGAACTGGAGTACTTTGTAGATTTTCACTTTCTGTCTCAGAGAATCTGGGAGAGATGGGGGCCATCAGAGGCAAAAGACATCTCCCCAAGGTAAATCTGTGTCTCCAAGATGTTTTCTAAGTATTTGTAGCAACTGGTAGATATGTACCAAGGCTTGCCAGGGCCAAAAAGGAAGTGAGCCCAGAGACTGGGGCATGAGCTTCATTCCACTGATGGTGACCTGCCATTGATCCTGGGGCCAAAGGGAAGCTCAGCCCACTCTGTTCCAGACAGGAGGCATGGCTTGGCACTGCATTCCTCACGGTGCTCCTGGTGAGCCAGCTCCAATACCTCTTTGTATAAGAGCACAGGTGAGGAAGGAGTCTTCATTATCCAGTGTGCCTTGCCAGTGTGGACCCAGACTGGGTATTTCCAGCATTGGCCATAACACTGGAATACCTTCTCCTCTGGCCCAGTATATCAACATGTGCCCCAGGCCAAAGGCTGGCCTGAGGGCAGCCATCCATCAGATGACTCCACGCACGAGCTCCCAGGTTGGGGTGGTGGACCCTTTATCTGACTTTCTGAGTTGGCCTGTTCCCTTCCTCCATTGGAGTGGATAGGCTGGAGCCCCTGGGCCTCATCTTCCTCGGCAATCCTCTTGGCCTCCCTGAACCATGTTGTCTGGTCAGAGAGCTAGCAGAAAAGCTGGTGGAGTTTCCTTTCCAACAGGATGATGTATTTGCTCACTTTTCAGGACTGGAGAAAGCTGCTTGGTCACCGTAAAGCTAAGGCAGGGCACAGAGTTCCCTTTACTTTCCCCCTTGGCTCACTGGCTTCTAGGTCACCTTGCCAGTACCAGAAGCTTCCATATGGGGTGGAGGGTCAATGTCAGAGAAAAGAGAATAAGAACCAGGTAGGCCCACTGTTTTTCAAAAATGTTTTCTGTGCATAGGTACACTTTAATGCATTAACAGGCATTTTCTTTTTAACCCTCACAACCCCCCTGACAACTACATTTACCCCCCTGTGACAGGGTGTGAAACTGCCCGTCCTTCTGCAGTATTATTCAATAGGCTTGGGTTTTCCTTCTTTCTATAACTGTGTCCAAGACTTCATAGCCTGTCCAGGGCTTTCCTTTAAACCAAAGAAAATAGAAGTCACTGTCCTGTCGCTCCCCATGCTCTAAGCCATAAGAAACTCACTTGGTGCTAGGTAGAGCAAAAGCTTTATAAATAGAGAAAAAATTGTAAGACTCATCTATCCATTGAAGAAAAATTGGCCCCTCATGGTAATTATTGGGCTGTGTGTATATTGTTCCTTCTTTAAAATTCAAAGGCAAAGCATTGTTCTCAGAACCCTTTATGGGCAACCACGCAACTTTCACAGCATTTCAGATGTCAGTGTGGGGTGGCTTCAGGAGTCTATTTCCAGATTCAGGAAGCTCATGAAGAGCGGGCAGCTAGAGGGGACTATCTAAGCAGAGCTGGTAAGCAGACACTGGCTGGGTCCCAGCCTGTAGCTGTAAGCCGCTCCAAGATTTCAGCCCACGGACTCCACAGTCAGAACTGAAGTGGGCTGTTGGGGAGGTGATGGTGGGCTCCGGGAGTCCAGTCCTCCCAGTCCAGCCTCTCTCCTTCTCTTCAGAAGAGATTGTTCTCGCCAACTGGTTGCCTTCACGCTGCTGTCAAAAGTAGATCACGTTTGCCTTACTTAGAGAATTGTTGCAAATGGTCCCAGGTGCTTGGTGATGTGTTTGGAGATTTCTAGACACTTGGGTTTTGTAGAGTGTGAGCCCTGGTGGCCAGGGTTGGGGGCCCATCTCTGCTGGATGCCACCTGTAACAATTTGGTGTATCGAATCAACAATAAATGGTATACACAGCACAGGTGTGTTCTCAGTGGATGTCTTGGCTAGGAGACCTCACACCTGCTGATTCATCACATGTGTGCAAGGCTGACCCAGAAAGCCCCTCATGCAGAACAGATTCCAGGCTGGGCAAAGGCCTTTGGAAAGTGTGCAGGGACCAAAAATGAGATAACAAATGACATCTGCAGGCCACTGTGGCTGAAGGGGCTTTAAGAATAAGTTCAACCCCTTTTCTAGGTGAAAAAAAGTGAGATCAAGACAGGAAATTCCCATAGTCACTAGCGAACTAATAGCTGAGCTTGGACTACAGCTAGGCCTCCAGAATCCCAAGCTGGGGTTTCTTCTGTGTCACCAGAAAGGCAGTGAAGTTTACTGAGCATGCATTTAAGATGCTCACACACACATGCACACATATGCCCAGGCTCAGGGGGTAGGACTCTCCTGCACATCTGTGGATTCCTATCAGCGCTTAGCACCAGGCTCAGTGAGTCACAGGCTCCCAGAAGGCATCTCCTGAGTGAAGGTGACTCTCTCCAAAGTGTCTGGTGTCCCTAGGACTCTTTCAGGCCTCTGTATTCCAGGGGCTGCTACGGTGGCTGGCATAGGTCCAGGGCTTAAGAACGGGTGACCCCTGCTGTCCTGTTATCCCACTGCCATGTCCAGTAATGGGTCCATATTTTCCTGGGTTCTCTTAGCTCTTAGATGCTTTCTGCCAGGTGTAAGCCCCCAGGAGTCTGGGCCCTTCAACGGCTGGGACAGGGCCTTGGTGTCCTTCCCTAACCACAGGATCCACCCACTCAGACCAATTTCTGGAATTTCGGATTATGGAAAAGGGGGTTAGAGTCTTCATCCCGTCTCCCAGAAGGTCCTTGGATCTCTGCTCCACATATGCATGCACACACAGGCCCAGTGTCCTTCCAGCTGCGTGTTATCTGCAGTTCGATCTCACACGTGTGTACAAACAAACACACACACACACACACACACACACACACACACACACACACACACACACCTGCCCAGGTCCTCTACCACACCCATTCCACAGGCCTCAAATGTGGATCTGTTGAGTGCCGAATTTCTCTTGTCTGCCACAACACTGACACAGAGATGAGCTTTCCTTCTGCAGGTGAGCGTCGCTGCTGTAGAACCTGTTCAGAGCACAAAGCAGGCTGGGCTGCTCCCCAGGCCTGGTGATGTGTCTCCTCCAGAGGTGTGCCCTCTCCCCCCAGCCAGTCCTCCAATCTGCCAGCCTACCCCTGCCAGTCTGGCTGCTACAGTGGGTAGGGCCAGGCACACTTTTTTCTCAGCCTTTCTCTTTTACACACTCCCGCTGCTCTCTGCCAAAGTTTGAGTCTGTAATGTCTCTGTGGAAAAATGCTTCCTTGCTACACTCTATCAGACCTCTGCAATGTGGCATGTGAAATCTGCTCACGTGCAAAAGAAATAACTAGTTCAGACCTGAAAAAGAGTGAGCTAAATATTAATAGCAGACAATCAGTTTTAAAACCATCAGACTACTTTGAATGATAGATTCTGGGCGCTGAAATGATCTTAGATTGTTTAAGTCATTCCTGCACCCCTTAAAATATATACACACTCACACACACTCGCCTACACACACACACACACACACACACATGTGCACACACGCACATACTCATCACCTTGCTCTGCAGCCCCTGGATGAAACACCTTGAGAGACAGGGAAACCATGACATCCCAGAGTAACTCCTTTCATCCTCCCATAGCCCTGTGGTGAAAGCATTCCTCTCTACCTTGGGCCAAAATTCACTTGCCTGTATCTCTCCCCCTTTTAGCTGACAAATTGTTTAGAAAGTTAGTTCATTAAACAAACAAAACAAAACAGCAAACCCACAACCCTCTTCAAATTTCTCCTGCTGTTGAGAGCCAACCAGGTGCCTGTGGCCAGCAGCTCAGGTGAGCTCAGACTCCTGGGGACCACAAGGAGGGATGTGCATTTGGACCCCTGAGAAGGCCAGTCCTCACCCCTGAAACAGCCTTCTGGAACTTTCTAGGGCTTAGTGGATGCCCTTGAGATGCTAAAGGTGCCAAGCCTGTGGCCTTAGCTGGATTTTGGCCTCACTGGGTCCCTGGGAATAGTTCAGGGTCATTTTGTAATCTTCAGAGGCCTTGCCCCAGATTCTTTCCTCTGGTCCTGTGACCCTGGTGACATTCCGGGAACACTCAGGCCACATGAGGGGAGGAACTGCTGCCTGGAACTTTGATCAGCACCAGGGCTGCTGGGTTCACATGGACCAGAGACCATGCCAAACACCCTCTGCTCCTGACAAACAGTCAGGGCAGTTGGTCTCCATCCGCTCAGCCCCTCATGGTAGGTCTCCTGCGGTCGGTGGGGGCGTGGGAGGAATCTGGCCTAGAGTCCTGGCTTAGGGGGCAGGAGAGGGGCTGCCCACTCCTCCCCAGTTTCAGAGCATGTCCCTGATTCTGGGCAGGTGGCACTGTGTCCCCCTGCACTGGGAGGGGAAGCCACACTGTGCTCAGCTAGGCTGCTGCTGGGCTCAGGCAGGAGGCAGGTCCCAGCATGGGGTCCTGAGATAAAGGTCCCTGGTGCCCAACAGTGGGGATGAGCAGGGTGACCCTATGTCCTGGTTTGCTTGGTCCCGCCCTTGTTTATGCCTGTCATCCTGTAAAATTATCAGGAGCTCCCTTTTTATTCCCAGAAGCGTCCTGGTTTAGATAAGAAAGTATGTAGTCACTCAAGGAATAAAACATGTATGCAGTTACCTTTTACTGAATAATTACTATTTGACAGATACTGTTAAGTGCTTTGTATTTACAATCTGATTTAGCATATTTATTATCCAGTTGAGTATGGTCCAAGCCCAGGCAGCCAGTAGGTAGTGGCATCAGAATTCAAACCCAGGGCACAGTGCTGCAGAGCCTAAGTGCTCCCCGACTGCATTAAGCAGGATGAACAGTAAGACCTGAGTTACAGGGTATTAAGAGACACAAACATATTTTGGTTCAATTCAGCACACAGGGCCTGGGCATATTCTCTGTGTGCAGCCCTGGCCCATGTGCTGGGGTGCCCCTCCAGGCTGGAGATGCTGTGGGTGGTACAACCCCAGCCTTGAGGGGCTCACAGTCAGGTGCATGCAACTGACTAGAATACAGAGGAGAAGGACCCAAGTCTTCATCAGAGGACATGACGGACCTGTGAGATCCAATCCAAAGGAGGTGCAGTCAGAGAAGGCTTCCCAGGGGAAGGGTGACATGCACTGGCCTGGGAAGATAAGTAGAATGGGGACAAGTAGCACGAGGGAAAGGTCGCACAGCATTCTAAAATGGGGGGAACTGTGCAAGAGAGGCTAGAGCGGGTGCCCTATGGGAGCCTTTGAAGGAAGGACAGTGCCAGGTTCACAAACTCCCCTTATTTCAGAATGGTCAAGAATGCTAGGACAGCTGACAGACAAGATCCTCTTGAGCCTTTGAAATGTAATTGCAAAGCAGGACAGAAATAAAGGAAGCCGTTACCATGTGTTTAGAACTGTGCTGTGTGTTTTACACAAATATCTCAATTTTGATTACTTTTAACCTTATTACAAAAGTGATACCTGTTCATTATTTTTAAAAACACAGAGAATATATGAAGCAAAAGGAAAAAATTAAAACCCCCACAATTCCGTTTTCCAGAGGTAACCACTGCAAATATTTTGTGGATAATCTGAAGCTATCTAGGGGCCCATCAAGAGTTGCTTCATTAACATAAACTCAGGTGTGGGGCTCATTATGAATGACATTTCCTCTCTTATCCCTCAGGAAATGCCAAGGGTTTTTGGAGCCCTGTGCCAGGAATAGGAACGACGACCAAAAATAGCTTTCTTACTATATTACAACATCACAAACCCAATGCTAGTTACCTCATTCGATTGCCACAATAATCCTAACAACGCTGTAATTTAGGTGACATTATTATTATCATGATTGTTCTCAATTTATCAGCACAGGAATGGAGACTCTGAAGGCTTCCCCTGCCTGGGCCACTGGGCAGCAGGTAGAGGAGCGCCGGCCAGCAGCGAGGGGCAGAGGCATGTGCCCAGCCTGTCTGACCACCTGAGCTTGGCTTATTTTCCTAGGTTGACAGAAAAGGAGATGGAGGTCTAGGGAGCAGCAGGTCTTCCTAGGGACCTAGATGAGGCAGTCCGGGGACCCTGATAAGCCACAGAAGCCTCTCTTTCTGTTTCCAGATGTGCTGGAGCCCATGGGGCAGAATCCAGCACTGTTGGCAAGGAAGACACCCCTGCAGACATCCCCGAGTCAAACAGTAGTCCCCCGGGGGCTTGGAGCCCGGGCTCTGGTCTCCCATTACCCTCTGGAAGGAGTAAGGGTTAGCTCTGGAGTGGATGACAGACTGGCTCATGGCACACACAGAAATGTACCAATCCAAAAGCAATTTGAGATGGGGAAAGAGTCTATTTGCAACCAGTCAATTCCCTCTACCCCTACCCCCCTGAAAGTCAGACTTCCTTGGCTTACTGAAAGCATGGAACATGTTTGTGGGCATTTGCTGGTCTCTTCACAAATACAGAGGTAGTTTCTCAGATGAGAAACAAGAATCTTCTGGCTGCTGTCCCAGCCTCCTCAGTGCTTAGGCAGGGGCACTTCCCATTTCGAGAGCCCCCAGTGACCTTCTCTTGAGGGTGTGTTGGGGAAGGGACCTCAGCTCAGGGCATCCTGGTGAGAGCCATCAGAATCTGTGCTGCACTGAACCAAGGACAAAACAATTACCCGCATCTTTGGCTAGGAGGAAAGAGCCTGACAAACCGCATCTCACTGGTCCATAAATGGGACAGTTGGATGATCTCATCAGCTTTTTCATATATAACCTCTCTGACTACTTCAGAACAAAGCTGGAACTGACTTGAACCCAAAATAATTAGGTCACTCATGTTGCTGAGCCCTCACCGTGTGCAAGGCTCTTGGTTTGGAACTTTCAGCACATATTCTCATTCAGTCCTCAGAACAACTCTGTGAAGAAGGTAGCATTGAATCTTGCTGTTTCGAAGGTGAGGACATTGAAGCTCAAAGAGATTAATTAATTCAGCCATAGCCACACAGCTTGTAAGGGATGGAGACAGGATTTGAACCCAAACTGTCTGACTCCAGAGCATAAACCCTGAGCTATTCTAGAGTGATTGAGAATGAGTCTGGGGCTGAGCAGAACCAGGAGGCACATACTTGCCTGGGGCTTGTTCCTGACCCTCTTGTGTCCTGAGTGGCAGGCAGACGCAGTTGCTGTTAGAGAGCCTCCCTACTGCGTTGTAAAATCCACCTCCCAAGGCTTTCTAAGCATCAGAGGAGCCTCAAGGGAGGTATGAACTTTCTCAAAGAGAAATTGTCCCATCTCTATTGATTAAGCAGAAAAAATCCTGGGAAAAACTGAGAGTTCTTAGGAGTCTGAATGGGAGGAGGGGGCTTTAGTAAGCACCTGAGTTTGCTTGGAGACTTTTGCTTCTGGAGCACTTTGTCCTAAAGCTGAATCTGATGATGAAGGAGGCAGCCAGTAAAGGGCAGCAGAGAGGCAGCCAGCAAAGGGTGCCTGGGGCAAGATTTCCCGACAATGGTGAGTTCTTTCTGAGAACAAGTAAACTGAGAAAAATTTGGATTATGTTGCATGAGGGCTTCCTTTTTCTTTCTCTTTTCCTCCTTTCCTCCTTCCCTCCCTTCCTTTCTCTCTCTGTTTTTCTTAAAGCCAAATGTATTCTATCTAAAGGGCATTTTGATCTTCCTACTCTTGGTGTTCAACCAACCTTTTCTGCAGTGATGGTGGCCTCCAACCTTTAACAATAGTTAACATAGTTTATTAATTGCTCATTCTATATCAGACACTGATCTAAAACCCTCACCTATATTTACTCATTTAATCCTCACAATTACCCTAACATAGTAGGCACTATTATTATTCCCATTTTATAGATAAGGAAATTGAAACACAGACAGATTAAGTAATATGCCCAAGGCCACACAGCCAGAATATGATGGAGCTGAGATCTGGACTCGTAGAACTTGAATCACTACAAACTATGTACATGACACAGGTGGGAGGAGGAGTGATCTGAGGGCTGCATATCCCCTAAGGGGGCAGTTAAGCTCCAGGTGCTCTTAGCACAGGGGAATGTGTGCACACTGTCTCTAAACCACCCTGAAATCTGGACTCTTAATGTGATATTTCCCAATTTTTTACATGTTGGCAAATGGTTCATATATAAAGACTGAGCAATGAAACATACTTGCAAGTTGCATCAATCAATTTGTGACCTGTGGGTGGATGCTGCCATTAAAATAAATAATTAACATTTAGTAAACTAAAACCTAGTCCACTTCCCTTATTTAAGACAAAACCACAAACCACAAACCTACTGGTCTATGGAATCCCTGGGCCTGGACCCTCCTGTCCACGCAACATTGGAAAGTTCCCTGTGCTGCACGGTGGGGTGGGGGCAGAGGCCAAGGATAGCCTTCTGGCAGCAGTACTGAGTAGCAGGCGGACTTATTTTAAGATAAAAGCCTGTCTTGTTCCTGCAGCTGCTCACTGGGATGTGCAAAGAGCAGATGGTAATTAGGCTCTGAAATGTGCTGAGATTTGGAAACTCAGGGTTAGTCATGGTTTAAACATTTCTAACTCAGGAATAATCTGCCCCTATTTTACACGTTATTGTAACAATTCCAAAATACCCATGGTCTCCTTTTACACTTCTTTCATGCCATTTGTCTCCTTTCTGCTACTTTCTCCAATCTGGAAAGGACATGGGAAGTCCAGGAGACCTGGGTCTTGGTCCTGCCACTAACCCGTGAGGTGACTGTGGACAGGCCACCTGACACCCTCGCTGTTGGGAAGTCAGAACCCTGGTCCCACAGCCTTGCAAGGCTGCTGTGAGGTAGTATGAAAACAGCTATTTAAAAACATACACTGCTGCCCAGACGGTGGTCTCCCTGACACAGGTGACCCCGTCTCTGACTCACAGAGGGTGCGCTGGCCACCAGGCCACCTGTCTTTGATAAAGGCGCCACTTCTGTTTTCTCTTCTTACTCTGATCTAGGAGATGCTGCTTGGAGCATGGCTGTGCTGGGCCTGCCTCCTGCTCCTGGCCAGGCTCGCCCAGCCCTGCCCTGTGGGGTGTGACTGCTTCATTCAAGAGGTGTTCTGCTCCGATGAGGAGCTGGCCACCATCCCGCTGGACATCCCACCACACGCCACAGACATTGTCTTTGTAGAGACCTCGTTCACCACAGTGGAAACCAGGGCCTTGGGAGGTAGCCCCAACCTGACCAAGGTGGTTTTCCTCAACACCCAGCTCCGCCACTTGGGGCCGGATGCCTTCGGGGGTCTGCCCAGGCTTGGGGACCTGGAGATCACCGGCAGTGCCCTTTCCAACCTCAGTGCTGACCCTTTCTCCAACCTGATCTCACTGGGCAAGTTCACCCTCAACTTTAACTCACTGGAGGTGCTGCCCGAGGACCTCTTCCAGCACATGGATGCCCTTGAGTCCCTCCAGCTGCAGGGCAATCAGCTCCAGACCCTGCCCAGTAGGCTCTTCCAGCCTCTGAAGCATCTGGAGACACTCAACCTTGCTCAGAACCTCCTGGCCCAGCTGCCCGAGGAGCTGTTTGAGCCCCTCAGCAGCCTGCAGACACTGAGGCTGAGCAACAATGCACTCTCCAGCCTGCCCCAGGGCGTGTTTGGCAAACTGGGCAGCCTGCAGGAACTCTTCCTGGATGGCAACACGATCTCGGCACTGTCCCCAGAAGTGTTCTCACAGCTCCTCTGCCTGGAGAAGCTGTGGCTGCAGCGCAACGCCATCAGGCACCTGCACCCCTCCATCTTCTCCTCCCTGGGCAGTCTGACCTTCCTGAACTTGCAGGGGAATGAACTGCGGGCGCTGCCTGCCGGCCTCTTTGCCCACACCCCCGGCCTGGTCGGCCTGTCTCTGTCCCACAACCAGCTGGAGGTTGTCACTGAGGGAGTATTTTCCAACCTGTCCAGCCTTAGCTCGCTTATGCTTTCACACAATGCCATCACCCATCTCCCGGCAGGTGCCTTCAGGGGCCTTGGGGGGCTGGTCAAGCTCTACCTGGGCAGCAACAATCTGACAGCCTTACACCCAGACCTCTTCCAGAACCTCTCCAAGCTTGAGCTGCTCAGTCTCTCCAGGAACCTCCTGACCACGCTCCCAGAGGGCATCTTTGACACCAATTACAACCTGTTCAACCTTGGCCTGTACGGCAACCCCTGGCAGTGTGACTGCCACCTGGCCTACCTCTTCAGCTGGCTGCACCAGTATAGTGACCGGCTCTTCAACATCCAGACCTATTGTGCAGGCCCTGCCTACCTGAAGGGCCAGGTAGTGCCCGCCTTGAAGGAGGAACAACTGGTGTGTCCGGTCACTCAGGACCGCTTGGGCTTCCAGGCCCCGGGACTGGAGGACAGGGAGCCAGGAGGCAGCTGGGATCTGGCTGTGGAGGAAAGGGCAGCCTGGAAGCGGTGCACCTACAGCAACCCTGAGGGCACTGTGGTGCTCGCTTGTGACGAGGCCTGGTGTCGCTGGCTGAATGTCCAGCTATCCCCTAGACAGGGCTCGGGCTCCCTGGGACTGACATACAATGCCAGTCAGGAGTGGGACTTGAAGTCGAGCTGTGGCTCTGTGAGAGTCACTGTGTCTATTGAGACTCGGGCAGGGCACCCTTAGGTGCAGGGCATTTGGAGCCTGGAGCTTGGGTAGACTGCCTCTGGGCCTGACCAGGGGAGAGGTCAGGGCTGAGGAGGAGCGGAAGCTTTGAAGATCTAAAGCAAGGGATGGGGTTACATCTCCAAGATGCAGGAGGTGGGGGTGGCCGGTTCCACCACCCAGCCTCTTCCTCCTTCTTTTCCTTCATTATCCCCGTCTCAGAGTCTGAGACCAACAAGGCTTTCCTTAAGCTGTGCAAAGCATCCGTTAAAGCTACGTCATGGTCTGGAGAATAAAATAACACTGCTACCCCGGTGCTCCTTTATGATTTAATACCCACTCCACTCCCATCTCCACCCTGATATTCTAGCCCTGAAGTACTACTGCACCACTATTCCAGTTCTTCAGGACGGAGGCTTACCCTCTTTTGACATCTAGTTCTAAAGCCAGATGTCTGTTTTTATGTCTCTCCTTGGAAATTTGTTTTTAATTGGCATAGTGGGAAAAAAAGGAGACTGCAGAAGCAGAGGTGACCAGAAAGACTGGGGGCAGTGGTCTGACTTTGGCATGTGGGGAACTCGTGTCACTAGCGACCACTTCGAGTGCTGGGGCCGGGAGAAACGGCAATGAAACGGTGCCTCGGGAAGCTGAAGACCAGAGGTTCAGCTTTCACAACACCAGTCCCCCAGAGCAGGGGCTGTGGCTCACCTGTTCAGCTGACAAGATGGCTCTTCACGAGGAGGAGAAGCTCTGAGGAGACGGGTGGGGAGGGACCAGGAGCTGGTGGGCTGGAATGGACGCTCTGGTCTAAGCTTTTTCACCACATCTGCCTCTGCGGGCTGCTCGCTCACTGAGATGGCTCTCCTTCGGTTCTCAGGACTCCTCGCGCTTACCCAGCCCTGGCTGAAGCTTCAGTTCCCCAGCCACCTCCTCCATGCTGGGCTGCTCAGAGTTCCCTGCCTTTAGGCCCTTGGGCAGTCTCGTGCTTCCCCGGGCCAGATGCCACGTCTACACTGATGACCCTCTCTCCTCCTGGGGCTCGGGTGGTTTGGGCCTGATGCTGACACGTCTGCCTGCTCAGTACCATCGCAGCCAGAAACACGTCTAAACCAGACTCTGCTCCCAACTCCTCCTGGATCCCATCCAGCACCTGCCGAGCCCAGGAGCTGGGTGTCTGCTCCAGTCTCTTCTCCCCCTTAATCCTCATAGCCAACTAGTCAGCAAATGCCTCTCTCTGCTTCCCCTTTCCCATTCCCAGCCCAGGGCAGTTCTTTGTCTCCCTGGGCCCAGCCATGGTGCTGCCTCCTACCTGGTTGCCCTGCTGGCAGTGTGGACTGGCCTGGGTGAAGCTGGGTGGGGAAGGAGAAGTGAATTAGATGTACTGTGGGCCCTTCTGGAACTCACTCATGGTCTGGTGGGAGAGATAAGACAAGGCACATGGAACAAAAAAACACAGTGCAAAGGGGTGGGCGCCAGGCAAGCACTGGGGCATCCAGGGAGGTGGAGCCTTAGACTAGCACAGACCTCAGGGAAAGGCTGCATTTGATCCCGGGCCTTGAGGGGGGCAAAGGGCAGCATAGGGAGGATATGAGAAATGTGTGCCAGAAGGATGTGAGCAAGGGGTGGAGATCAGCCAGTGGGCGAGGTCAGCACCATGGGCCTCTGGAGCAGGCACTGGCTGGGCAGAGAGGAGAGGGAGGAGATCTGGCCAGAAAGCCAGCTGGACCCAGCTGGCCTAGGGCCTTGAAGGGCAGAGTGAAAAGCCTGCATATTCATTAACGTTGTTAGGCAGTTATTGAAAGAGTGTATGCAGAAGAGGGCCATGTTCCTACTTCCGGTTTAGAGAGTTGGCTGCATGAAGTTTGAGGAGAACCAGAGGCAGACGAAACAGTAAGGACTCTTGCCTACTTGAGATGACAGCCTGGGGGCCAGGGATGCTATGGAAATAGAATGAAAAGGTTTCAGCAACTGAGTAACACATGCACAGATGGATTAACAGGCCGAAATATAGATTGTAGAAATGAAAATTCAAATAATATAGGTATCACTTTGTACCTACTAATCCCACAGAAATTAGATAGCTGGATCATGCCCAGTGTGGCCCAGGATGTAGGCATAGGGGACCTCAGACAGCACCAGTGGGTGCAGACACTCTGAGCACACCACAGCAGGTCTGAGGCCAAGAAAGGGTTTGGTGAGGGGGCAGAAGTCCGCTGTCGGTGGGGCGGGGGGCTGGGATTTGAGGGAGAAGGAGAAGCCTGGAGGGACTCTCAGGTTTCTCACCTGGGTGGTGGGGAGGATAGCGACCCCATTAACCAAGGGCCGGAGCAGGTTTGGGGAAGAGAGAGGTAAGCTTCCAGCTGTGACACTGCAGTACAATTTCTCCCTCGTGTCCAGGGATACGCTTTTAAACAAACACACTTCCTGGGGTTCAAATCAACTTAAATTATCGTTCAGCAGATTTGCCAAAGGAACAGACTCGCTCCCAAATTCATTTAATTCAATTCCCCAAAGCATTTGGTGTAAGAAAAATCTCAACCAAGGTCGGGGAACTTTGTCTCCTCAGAAAGGCCGAGGCCTTGAGCCCCAGAGGGCCCTGTTGTGCCAGCCCCAGGCTGCTGCGCTGCTGCCCAGGCCGGCGGCCGCCCGCGTCAGGCTGCTGTCCGGTGGGTGTGCGGCGCTGTTTACGGGAGGGACGGCCCCGCCCGGTGCATCGAGGCACTTGACGAGCGGGCGCCCCGCAAATGAATGCCTGTCTGGGCTCTAGTTCCTGGTCCAAACAGTCATGCGTCTACTGCCAAGGAAAAACGAACAAGGTAACTGAGCAGACATTTCTCTTAATTATATTTTTCCCCAAAATACAACTCTTTATTAAGCCAAAATATAGTGATCTCTCTCTGTGCTGAATGGTGTTGAGGAAAGAGCGCTGGCGGACGGCCAGGGGCTGTGTAGTCGGGACAAGCTGTTCTCCCTTTCAAGTTGGCCGGGACAGACCAGGATCACTGTGCTCTTTTGGGTAAAATAAACACAGGCCGCATGGGCATAGCTACATTAAACATCTACTTGTAGTTTATCTGGAATCCAAATTTAACTGGCTAGCCAGTGTTTTATCTGGTGATCCAACCACCTGATGAAGGTGGGGCAACGACAGGGTGGAGGGGGGTGGGAGCGGGTAGTTTCCTTTGGGACCAGAGAGAGGCCAGGGCCAAGGCTGCAGTGGGGGAAGTCCTGACCACTGTGCGGCCGCTGGGATCTTAGATTAGAGCTGACAAGAAGCAGGCGGCACTGCGCATCCTGCCAGCTCAGACTGAGGTCAGCAGGGGAAAAGGCAGCCCTGAGTGTGCTGTGCACCCCATGGGTCCTAACGTCCTGCTGCTGAGTGGTCCCCGTCTGGTGCAGCTGGAAAGCTTTTGATGGGTTCTGGATTGGTAATCAGGACACTTGGCTCCCCCCTCTGGCTTCTCTCTGGGTCTTGGTTCCCTCATCTATGTAAAAAGGAGTTTGGTGCTCAATGCTGACTGAATCCTAGAATCACCTGGACAGTTAAAAAACAAACAAACCCAACAACAGATGCCTGGGCCCCACTTCCAGAGATTCTGCTTCACTTGGCTGAGGGGAGACCCAGATATCAGTTGTTGTTATTTCTTAACTCTCCCTGTGGTTCTAATGCTCAGACAGGATTAAAAATTGGGGGCTCAATAAGAAGAAAACAAATCCTACCATTTGCAACAACATGGATGGAGCTAGAGGGTATTATGCTCAGTGAAATAAGCCAGGCGGAGAAAGAAAGTACCAAATGATTTCACTCATCTGTGGAGTATAAGAACAAAGAAAAACTGAAGGAACAAAACAGCAGCAGACTTACAGAACCCAAGAATGGACTAATGGTTACCAAAGGGAAAGAGGGTGGGAAGGGTGGGTGGGAAGGGAGGGATAAGGGCAGGGAAAAAGAAAGGGGGCCTTATGATTAGCATGTATAATGTGGGGGGGGGTATGGGGAGGGCTGTGCAACACAGAGAAGACAAGCAGTGAGTCTACAGCATCTTACTACGGTGATGGGCAGTGACTGTAATGGGGTTTGTGGAGGGGGGGACTTGGTGAAGGGGGAAGTCTAGAGTCTAGTAACCATAATGTTTTTCATGTAATTGTAGATTAATGATAATAAAATGAATAATTAAAAAAAGCCTCCAATTAGAAAAAGGAAGAAAGTGAAAGTGTACAGATTAATAAGAAATGTAATTACAGAAAGCGCAAAATTACTACTAAAATAAAATAACTGTTTTTCAAGTTTTCATGGAAAAAAAAACCAATGTGATGGTTTTTAAAATTGCATCAAACCACATTTAAGAAAAATGAAAAGGGGAAAAGGAAACAGAAGGAAGCCCTTGTCACGTAGGACCTTCTCGCCGTGATTGGCATTCATGGTGTCGAGCGGCCCGGAGGACCGCAAGGAGGAACATCCCTGCAGTCCGTCTGTCTACAGTCCTTGGTAATTATAAGATAAATTTTGAACTGCTGTCCTTGAAATATGACTTTTAAGGAAACTTCTGATTTATGGAGTACTGTTGGCATTGCTAAGAGTTGATAACTAGAAAGATCCTATTGTAGCTTGTTATTTTGGGGTGTTACATACAGTATGTTGCAGCCATGGGTTGAGGCAGGTGTGGGGGCAGTGGTTGAACTGGATAGAGCTGGATCTTGGAGATGGGAAGCTGCGGTCATTACACCTTTCTGCTGTCACCTCCAGTAGGAGACAGTGGGCTGAGCCGTTTCCAAGGTATGGGGATGGCACCCGCTTGTTCTTTGGCGGGCAGCCCTGGTGTCAGTGTGCTTACCCATACCTGAGGATGAAGGGGTAGGATAGGAAGCCAGCACGCATGGTGTTTTGTTCCTAGGCATCTGGATGTATTGGATGGGTGGCATCCTGCCCAGCTGATTCTCCGCCAGCAAGGGCTTCCCAGCAGCTGCTCGACGACGTTTGCTTGGGGCCTCTGCAAACAACTCTTGCCATCTCTGCTCCTCTGCTGGCTGATATTTCATTCTTTGTGGCAGGCTTTTTATCTTTGGACAAGCAGCAGGCCTCGCCTGTTTAATTTCTTACACAATATGTAGAAAGTGAAATCCTGCAGTGGGTCTGATAGGATTCAGTGATGAGTATGTCCCAGGCATGTCGAAAGGTACATTAGCTAAGAGCCAGTTTTTATTAGTCCGCCACTTTAACATCAACAGTCGTTTACTGGGCACTTTCTATGCGTTATCATTGTGCCAAACACTTTATTATGTTGTTTGAAATAATTCTTTTATTCTCTCCATTTTACAGAGGAGGAAACTGAGGCTCAGAGGCTTAAGTGACTTGCCCCCAACGTAATACATGCAAAAGAGTGCATTCATGTCCATGTCAGTCTGATTTCAATGCCTTGGCTCTTAACTTGACATTTAAAAAAAAATTGAGATATATTTCCATACCATAAAATATACTCTTTTAAAGTGTATAGTCAGTGAGTTTTACTGTACTGACAAAGGTGTGCAGCCATTACCACTGTCTAATTCCAGAACATTTCATCACCCCAAAAAGAAATCCCATATCCATTAGCAGCCATTCCTCATTCCCTTTCACCCCTTCTCCTACCAACCTGTTTTCTCTTTCTTTGGATTTGCTGATTCTGGATTTTGCATAAGCTCGAGCATATCATATGTGATCTTTCATGTCTGGTTTCATTTACTTAGCTTAAAGTTTTCAGTGTCCATCCATATTACATATCAGTAGTTCACCCTATTTTATGGTTGACTAATATTCCATTGTATGGATATACTACATTTTGCTTGTCCATTCACTAATAGATGGACATTTGAGTTATTTCTACTTTTTTGATTCAGAATAATGCTGCTGTGAACATTTGTATACAAGTTTTTGCGTGGTCATATGTGTTCAGTGCTCTTGGGCTTGTGTATACCTAGAAGTGGAATTGCTGACTCATCTGGTACCTTTGTGACTTAACCAGACTTTTACATGAAAACTCTTGAGTCTTCTTCTTGAAGAATGAGATTAAGGTGGTTTCTGAGGCAATGCTTTAGAAGACTATCGGCATGGAGAGGCAGGCTCCCTCAGGGAACTTTTCCTTTGAAGTTTTGTTATTATTTTGATAAACTGTCCAGTGGCAAGCAGAGTGTTGTAAAGGACTGTGATACTGAG